AATCAATTCTTGGAAATCCAAGAGCTTCATAAAAATTGTGCTGGAGAAATCTCAGTTCCATGTTATTTTCACAGTATTCTCTTCCAGCGGGTAGCTTCTGTCTGAGTGAAATAGAGCAGCTCTGAAGTAACCCTTCTTTTGCGTGTGTGTGTTTATGCGGATTTGTTATTCCAGCACAATACAATTCAATTAGAGAAATAAAAGGTTAGAACAAAAAATGACATTTCCATTTATTTTGACTGTGTCTACTGAGAATCACGCAATTCTTTATTATTTTGAGGCAACTGTAAGAAGATTTCATTGCTCTCTAGAAGACACTAGAAGTGTAATAAAATAAAAAGGTATTTATATTCCATGTCATTCTCTCCAAAACTGTGCTGGAAACTCCTTTGTGTTAGGTATTTTTAAGATCGACATGGCTGTTCTAGAATTTCAATACTTTTATGGTCCAGAGAGGGGAATTGTTTGCATGGACAAGTAATACAGTATTTTAGAATTTAAATGGAAATGAAAATGCCTCTGCACTGGCTTACTATATCCTGTTTATCGTTTTGTACTACAGGTGATGCAGCTGTTCAACGGTAACTAGAAGAAAGGCTTTAATATTTCAGGTTGCTAGGCACAAAAATACTCTATTTGTGTGCCTGCTGTTATGACTCATTAAAGGCAAGGAAAAACTTTACAACTGTAAACCAAAAGTTTTTTCTAAATTAATGATTTTGAGATTAAATGGAAAAAAATAACTGCAGGTAGTCATCTGTTCTCTGTCACTGAGCATGAAATCAGATTAATGTACTGAAATCAGATTAATGTACTGTATCACTTTTGCCATCAGAGTCCTTGTTAGTTACCTTTTTCCTCATAACACAATTCAAGATTGTGCCTATATTTTTACTTCAGTAAAGTCTACCTGACCACACATGAACCTGTCCTAAATTAGACAACCAGAGCAAACAATAAAATTCTCTGTCACCCTGAAACGTACTAGAAATTACCTTTTCATGTGCTGCTAAGCCCATCATGATTGCTTATGAGCACAAGGATAAATTGGTTCTTTCTTAAGCAGATTGGTTTACAAAATAAATTTCATGTTCTACGTATCTTGCATCGCAAGCTTGCTCTCCGTGTTGGACAACGTCTACCAGCACATGCTCGCTCTGTCTTGGGTGCTATTTGGCAAGGTCCAGAGGAAGAGTGAGGGGAATGATTAGCCCAGCAAACTGCTGCATCCTTACACCCAGCCCTCCAAAAACCTGAGCTAACCCCCAGAGCATTGGAAGTGGGACAGCCACATCTGTGTGCGCTGCGGAAGGTGGGATGGATTGGCCTGGGCACAGAGACACGCCACACTGGTTGCTTTCAGGCCCTGAGTTTGGGTTTCTGCAGGATGCTAAAGCTTGCCCTGTGGGGGCACTGGCTGGCTTTGAGCTGCCGCAGGGATTTTATAAAGAACGTTACCCTGTGTGGCACTGAACCGAAGGCATGAGAAGCAGGACAGTCAGCCCTGCCCCTGCGGTTCATCCCTCAGGTGACCGAAGCTGTCATATTTCTGTGCCTCAGTTTCCCCAATGTGAACTGGGGAGGATGCTTTGGACTCCTTGGTAGGAGAGGTTACTCCTAAAGGTGCACTTTGGACACTGAGGGTGTTGGTGATGGCTGTGTAAACAACGATGTAGTGGCTGTTAAAGCTAAGTTAAAGTGTAACAGCAAGGTCGGGGTGTAAGGTTACCTTCACAATACCAATTTTTCCTGCTGCTTTATTCGGCTTTTATGCACTGGGATTTAAGCACAGTTGCTGCAGCAGGCATTACACTCCCTTTGAAGTGTGATCTGTTTTTCCTGCAAAGTGGCTCCACACTAAAAAGATTCAATTTCAGCACAATTCAACATCAGAGGGGAGAGACAAAAAGTGCAAACCTTTTAAAATGTACTTAGCCTCTCTGTTACGTTGCTCAAATTACAGACCTGGTCCTCCTTAAGGAGCTGAGGCTGAATGTAGAAAATAGTAGAGGAAAATTACTCGGCTAACCCTTAGGGGGACAGGCATTCTGTTAAACACAACAAATGAGCAAGTGCCAGGGAGTTACATTCAGAAGCACAGCAATCATTTAGTTACAGGCAATTAACAATAGTCCTCCAGTAGCACAGGAACAGTTCTACTCCAAGGGAAAACACATTGATTACTGCTGCAGTAGTAGATTGGTTTCTGAATAAATAGCTTCAATTTAAAACAAGATCTGTTACAAGCCTTTTGACCAATGGCTACAATTTTTTTCCTTATCGGGAGGCTTTGGCCAAGCAACCCAGTGAAAGAAACAGCTAATTAAAACAAAGTACATGTCCTCTCCATATATCTAGCACGATATGGCTGGTAATAAACATGCTTACTTTATATTGATTCTATCCTAATTATTAAACATATTTGTAGGACCTTTGATCTTCACCTGGCTTTAATATTTGATAAACTTCCTTTTGCTGTGTCATGCAGGTAATTCACTTAGCAGGAGTTGTAACAAGAGTGTAAATAAAAGGATACCTTCAAAGATTTATATCTTTTGACCTATAGGACCTGCTTCAGAGACTTTACATTTAATGGTCTGTGATAATTTAAAATTAATCTCATTCTATTCATTGGTCCATATACACCTGACCTACTACGAAAAATAATTATTTCAAACATTCTTTTTTTGTGATTTATAACACTTTGAGGACATGTGATTTATATCTGTGTATTCAATTTCTGAGCCTTTTTCAAAATCCAATTACAGTCTATCTAAGGTTTCAGTTTTGCAATCACTTATGCAGATTGCTTAACTTCATGGACTATAAGTAATCCCTCTGAAGTCAACAGGACTATTCACAGAGCTTCAGGTTAGCGCATACATAAATCTTCGCAAGTTTGTACCCTACACATTCACATTCTCTGCTTGTCTTGGATGATTTAACTCACAAAGCTACCAGGTTTGGTTAGAGACAGTTCTGAGTTTGTCTAGGTATGCTCTCACAGACTTCAATTATTAAATGAAACATCAAGGTAATTAATATAATTTGGAAGGGGAGCAGTTGAAGACAATACTGAAGCTTTCATGATGACACCTGAGAGAAGGTAAGGAAGGCAGAAACTGACAACCAACGGAAGATTGATGTGTCATAACATGCAGCTTTGCTTATAAGCAGGTGTGTTTCTTCTAAAGGAAGAAGGAGTCTGGCTAACACAGGAATATTCTTCTGAGTCTCTTTTCAGACATCAGCAGTAAACAGTAGGCAGAGTTTAGGTTAGGAAGGGAGAAACCCATGCTCACAGTTTAAAAATGGAGAAGTATGTGCTTATTTTCACCCCCCACC